AGAAATTTTCCTAATTTGGTCCCTTGGTAATTTGATTCAAATTATTAAAAAAAAAAATCTAGTATAAAACTACACTTACCATTAATCTTGTATTTACGGATCTATAGTAAAATTTAATGGCGCAAATTTTTGTGGAACATTTGAGTCCACTATTTCTGCCCATTGTGGGTTGTTTTCATCCTTGATTTTGGTCAAATCTAGTAGTAATGGAAATTTCCCCGCACCAATTATTGCCTTATCTTAACTCAAAGGGCATCTAGTTTTTTTAATTTGGCATTTTTGAAAATTTGTAATATTTGAATGAAATTTTGTGAAATTTTTCGCGAGTACTATTTATTTGGCAACTAAATTTTCTAGTTTGTACAGTTGATGGAGCTGAAAGAATATACTTATATATATTTCTTTAATTCAAAAAAAATGTGGTCCTTTATTTGGAACTTTTTTCTCTATCTGGCACCTCTTTATCTCCAATTGTCTCCAATATGGCACCTCACATAGCTAGGGATAGTCGGGCACCCTGCCTCCAGTTCGTTGACCTGCTGATTATGCATAGTCGAGCAATTCCCATTGACGCACATGAACCTCCTTAGAAAGTTAGTGTACACATAGTGAAGGTTGCCCATCCCCATAAGTATGTAAATATGTATGTATGAATATTTGTTATCAAAAAGCCTTTTATTTATCTAAATTTGGTATGCATATGTACCTATCTACGACAAATTAATCATTGATAAAATATTGTGGCTGTTAAACAAGCCTCAAAAGCAACATTCCCACATGGCACACTGGCCCCGAAGCTCGGAAAAACTGGCCAAAATTCAAAAAATTTAATTTCGCGATTTAAATGTAGTTCAGTATACTTTCGCAAAGGCGTCCTTAGTACATACCCCCGAGCAGTATATAGTGTTGAACTCTAAGTATTTGACCTTCTCCGCAGGCGCGACAGGGAGTGATCAAAATATCGAGATGCACCAACCGCATCGGGATGTATGGTATGGTCCACCCACTGTGGTCTAAGTGTCAACTCGAGTAAGGTGGAGCCCAATGATACCGTAGCGAGGCGACGAATGAACAGCGTAGACCCAATGAGGCCAGAGAGAGAGAGAGAGAGTACCTACACTCCGTACCTCCAAAGGCCCTCCTGGACTTCCTGGAATCCTTAAGATCAAAAGATATATTGTGATGAGTGGAGGGCACAATAGACCCAATAGATTGCGGTGCATAACTCCCTATATCTAGGGTGGACTTCACCGCAGCTAAACGGCGCACGGTTAAGTCTTACTACAAAAGCCACTGGAAGAATAATATTATTCACGTTATGTGAGGGCTTCCTTAGCCCTCTGTACTTGTAAAAGGGTCATAGGCAAAAAATGTGACATTAGTCCCCGGACTTGTCAATGGACATTTATAGCAGTCGTTAGACAAATTCCCCTATATGGAGCGGTCGTATGGTGACCTGGGAGGTAAATATCAGGCTACTCACGAAGGCGGAGCTCTCAGAACCACGCCGAACGATGCACTGAACGCTATTTTAGGTATCCTGCCATCGGATTTGGCAGCTGTTTTTGACTTAAGAGAGGCATCACAGTGGCAACCAGAAAACCCAGGGACACTCTTATACATATATTAAATAATTCAGCGAAAAATTTGTCTTCTAAAATCGAGCACGTTTCATTTTGCATTTCATATAATTTTGACGCACCCTGTTTACAAGATCATTTTTGTTTATTTGAAAAGATAAAAAATAACAACAAAAGCCGCAACCCAAGGCAAACCTATAACTAACCCACAACCTACATGCATTCATACATATGTATGTACACACTCTTACGTATATACATACATACATGTGTACATATGTATTAACATAATAGATATTCCAAATTCGAAAAACCAAAGAATAAACGAGTGCAAATCACATAACGCGCCCAAAAGCTACAACAACAACAACAACACTAAGCAGCCAAATCAGCGAAATAAATAAATAAAAATGAAATGAAATGAACACAAAAAATAAAGAAATCGAAAATAAGCAAAAGTGCTAAAAATAAAATTTATTTAAAGAAATGAAACCATGAAAATTTTCGAAAAACCGAAAAATGAGTGGAAAACTTTTGAGCAGCGGCGAAAGTCGGCTGCAGAAAAAAAATTAAAATTTCATAAAGGGGGATATTTTTGGGAACAAGCCGAAAATTTAGAGAATTTAGAAAGTTTTAAAAATCAGAAAATTATGAATTTTGTGAACAAGGAATTTGTTGGAGTTTAGAAATTTCGCAATATGATGATTTGTAAATCTTACTGCCGGTTTAACGAAAGCAATATAAGTGCAAAATGATTTTTTTCTGTCCGTTTTCATATTGACATCAAATAAAAAGTATTTTTTCATTTAAATTGCTTTCGTAAATTTGGCTTTTCGAAAATGTAAAACTTTAAAACTCAATCAGTTAACCATTAAAAAAATTATAAATTAGAAAATATTGGAAAAGGTTTTTTAAAATGGCTGGATGATGTAAGCAACAGCGAAACAGAAAACAATTAAAATTCGATAAATCGAAAATTTTCAGGGGATTTGGTGAAGAATGAAAATTACAAAAATTAAAATTTATAAATTTTTTTAAATGTCAAACTTTAAAAATCAATGACTTGATAATTTTAAAAATGTTTAAAATTGTTAATTTGAAATGCCAAAATAATTATTTAAATGAAATTACTACCAATTTCAATTAAAGTGAAAAATTATTTTTTTTGTAAGTTTTTATATTAAATCAAATAAAAATAATTTTTAAGCAAAACCCACAACCGACTTCAATTCTCATATAAAAATTAAGGAGTACCGTTAATTTTGTCATGATCGAATGTTCGGATGTAAACCAAATTAGTATTAGCTTTCCGATAGAAAAATAATTATCGAACGTGGTCCAAAGTTATGCGGTAACATACATTAAAAAAAAAAAATGTATGTATATATATTCCGATGAATTGATAACCTTCTCCTTTTTTTGAAGTCGGTTAAAAAACCTTTTTCACTTAAATTTCTTTCGTGAAACTGGCACTAATATCATGAAATTTTTCGAAAACCTGAAAAATGAGAGATTTGATATTTTGAAAATCAGAAGAATTATGAATTTGGTAGAGTTAAAATTTTCTAAATTTAGCGATATTTAAAATTTTTTAGACAGCTTTAAATATAACATTTTTGAAAGTTGAAGGCAGACAAAAATTAATACATTTATACCTACACTTGAATAAACACACATACATATTTCGTAAAGGGAAAACTTCACATGGAAAATTTTTTTTTTCTTAATTTTTGAAAGTTTGCAGCAGAAAAAAATTTACATTTCGTAAAGGGAGTAGTTTTGGCGGAAAATGAAAAAAAAATTTATTTTATTTAAAATTTTAAATTTATTATTATTTTTTTTAATTAGCTACATATGTACATATGTACACGTAATATTAAAAGTTTTTGAAATTTAAATCATACTTCGAAAGTTTTTTAATTAACTAACCGTTATAATATTTTAAGTTCTTTAAATTTTCTTAAATTTTAAGATCCTTGGTTTTAAAATTAACGATTTTTAAAATATTCAAAATATATAATTTTTAAAACCTTAAGGGGATATTCATAGTCAAAATAAAGTCGGCTTCAGCTTTTTAATATAGTTTTCAATGAAAAATCCTCAACAAACTTTAGAATCGGCTTATTTTCGACTATAAATATGCCCCGTTATATTTTCCTAAATTTAACATTTTCTAAAATTTAAAAACTTTCCAAGTTCTTTTAATTTTCAAATTTTGTAAATTTCTAAATCTTTTATATCTTTAAAAATCCTTAACTTCACCGAATTCTCTTTTTACGAAATTAATAATTTGTATGATTTTTAATATGTCTTTTAAAAATTTTAAAATTTTAGAAATCGAGGACTAAAACTATTGAAAAATTCTTTTAATTTTGAATTTATGTACCAATTTTGTAACTTTAATTTTGGTTTGAGCTATTTCAATTTATTTGGCTATACTTAAATTTACAAAGGCAAAAAAATGCTTTTCAAAACTTTAAATTTCAGATAATTATCAAAACTCGAAATTTTAAAAAATTGTGAATTTTAGAAAATTTTAAAAACTTACTAGTTTAGAAAATTAAAAACCTATACATTTGATAGAATTTTAAACATTTTAAATTAAACCCTTAATCTCGGAAAATTTATAAATATTTAATTTTTGGAAATTTAAAAAAAATTAAATTTAGATAACTCCAAAATTTTACTGAACTTTAAAAAACATTAATTTTTGAATTTGTATAAAAAACATTAATTTTAAAATAGTTTTAAAATTTTAAATTTTAGAAATTAAAAAGCATTATAATGGTTGATAAATTCTTTTAATTTTATATTTAACAACTTTTGTAGCTTTAATTTTGGTTTGAATTGAGTTTCTATTTATTTTGTTTTACTTAAATTTGGAAAAAGTGGAAACAGCAACAACAGTTTATAAGGCAAATTTAGCAGAGTGTGTAGACCACTGGCTTTGGAAGCTGGTGTCATTGGATCGAGTCCCAGTGTAGAAGTCTGATGAGGAGATGTGGTGATCTCCGAAATAGCAGCTATAACTTCTACCATTTATAAATTATTGTTGTTTTTCCAAAATAATTTTCGATTAGAAACGGCCTCAAGCTCAATAAAAAATTTTTTTATTTCTCTTATTTTTTTTTTTTTGTTGTGTCGTTATTGCAGAGGGCCATCGATATATTAAGTATGTACGCCATCGATTTGACAATGTTGTGCCATGCAAAGTGTCTAGACTTAATTTGTTTTTTCAGCAATGGGAATCAACTACGCTACGCTGACAACTTCTACAAATAACTTTTTTTTTCAATTCCTCACATTCGCTGTTGCGCTACTTTATTAATATTTTTTCTTTTATAAATTTTTCTTATTTTTTTTTAGTTTTACTTGTTTTTCTATTTTTATTTTTATACTAACTTGTTGCTTTATAGATACCTTATTTGTATATTTTTTCCGTAGCGCGTACAACACCGGTAGATAATTTTCTGCACAATCGGTTACGCTGCTGTTGCTGCTGTTGTTGTTGTTGTTGTTGCTGCTGCTGTTTTTTTGTTTTGTTTTTGTTGTTTATTATGTGAGCAAATTTCGTTGTTGCTGGCTGTTATTAATTGTATGTAACTGCTGAAAATTAAAATTTTTTTTATTTTATTATTTTTGTTTTCAACTACACTCGTTGTATGATTCAGTATGAATTTTAAGCGTAGCTATCCAGTTGCCAGATGTTGTTTTGCACGGTGTTACTTTTATCAAACTTATTTGCAACTAAAATTTTTGGATATTTTCAGTTAATATAAATACCCTGCACGCCTAATTTGTATACAAAAAAAAATTAATATTTAAAAAAAAATGTTTAATACAAAAAAATATTAATAAAAAAAATATTAAAAAAAAAAAATTTTTAAATAAAAATAAAATAATTTGATAGAAGCTTTTTTTGAGCACTCGGAAAAAAAATTTCTCGAATCATAAATATGTACACTGTACACTGCACTAGCACATTCACTATGCGATCTGCGGCGGTAAAAGCAGATGCTATGATTTCTTTGCCTTTTCAATTTTTGTACTATTTCTCTTCTTGTTCTTCCACTATTTCACTAGTACTTTTCACTTGGTTATGGATATATAGTATGGTCTTCAAACGATTCACTAACTCCGCATCGCAACGAACCATATCTCTAACAAATCCACTCACTCATTTACTCTCAAGCAGCACGATCAACACTCGATCACTCGCAATTAGTTAAAACAGCGTCAACGGACGTCTCTCAAACTGACCGGAACACTAGAAATTTTAGCTAACCAGCCAACCAACCAACCGACAGATACAAAGTTAAATCAGATACTAATTCGTAATTTGTTTCAGACTTTTCGCTTTTAGTTAGCCAGCAGCTTGTTTGTGTATCGACCGACCTACCGCACACCCTCCTCTCGCTGTGCGCGCTGTGGGCTTTTCAGCAGCGTGTGTTCTTTGCGATATTCGTCTTTTTTGCGTTCTGCACTTCTTTTTCGATTTTTTTTTTTTTTTTTTTTTTTGGTGACTACAACTTTTTGCTTCTCGCTATATTTTTGACCACATATGGCAGACGAAACGACCAGTTTGAGTGTCGTCGTTGAGTGAGAGCGAAATGTGATTTTTGCACTGATCTTGTTTTGATTAAGAAACGACGAAAAAATAAATAAAAAAAAAAACCAAGTCAGAAAAACTAAAAAAAGAAAAACATTTCAGACGCTCAGCAAAGTTAGCGTGCAAACTAGAAATCCGTTCGCTAAACTTGCTAAATGAAATTTTGCGCTAATTCAAATTTAAATAACTGTGTTTATATATTTAATTATAAAAACCAGTGCGTGCGTCCTTAACTTCCTCACAGATACACAAGTTTTTTTTTTCGTTAAAAAATCGCGATCATCGCAAACACCGTTGAATGATGATCATTGATCGATTGAATCGCTACGCAGCACGATCGTTACCCAAAGTCGATATCTATTGAGCGTTAATTTTATGGCGTTAATGGTCTAAGTTTTTATGTAAGCGCCTATGTATTGTAGAAACACTCAGCACAAGCTCATTAGCACGATCATCATCACGATGAGCACAATCACAATCACAGACGTCCGCTCTTCGCAAATACATACATAGTACATATATACGCGTCGCCGCGCTTCTGACGTAAAACTTTTAAAATCAAGAAGTGCGTATTTTAGGTTGGGTTTAGTTAGTAATTTAACAATTTAATTTACAAAGTGAGATGAGCGTCGTCAATCTGCTGGGAGCTCAGTGGCACGAGTACCAATTTGTGAATTCCATGCGCGGTTGTCGCGAATCACAACAAACCTGTTTCTCTGAGTTGCGCGTACGCGTCTTGTGCGATCAGCAGCTGATTTAGTACTGAAATGTTATAAAAAGCTTTTGCATTGAGTGCAAAGATTCCGCACTGATTCTTATTTTTTTATATTTTGTGCTTGTTTTATTTACATATTAACTCTTCTCTATACCAAAAGTTTTCATAAAAAAACTTTTCAACAACCGCATGGAAGTGATCTCTTTTTTTCTCGTTGGCTGAGGCGTTGACCTAGAGTGCATCATATCTGACGTTTCTTTTTGTAGTTGCTCACCGTTTTTGGTGCTTTTCCACGTCTAGTCGACATTCCGTGCACAAAAGCTTTGCTGAACATTTAAAACTCACAAAGCAAGCTTTCCGTGGTTGAGGCCTAAAGGTATACTCATGGTTATGCCATAGCGTATGAGTGATCTACAGCAGTTTGTACTTGTTTTCGGGTGATACATTAGGGCCATAACAAAATATTTTGTCAGCGCACACTCGAAAAGTCTTTAGCGCTTAAGTGCGAGCCAAAATGTTTTCATCTTAGCCTCGTGAAGGCTGGTTAGGCAGTCGAATAAAAAGTGCTGAGATGAGTCCACCTCATCATCCTTTTGACAGCTGATACAAAAGGGATCAGTTGAGATTCCTAACCTTACCGCATGAATGCCAATTGCACAATGGCCTGTCCGAGTCCCCTACAAATAGCGGTAGCTGAGGCTGTGCAAGCATAAGGAGCTCCTTTCACCGTCCTGCCGGTCTACCCAAGGCCAGAAAGATCTTGCAATTTCGTATACGCTTGTTTAAGCTCAGAGCCCGCTGAGTTTACATGGGGCCCAGCCGTCCAAGAGTGTACCGAAATAGTGCAGAGGCACACGCTTCTGCTCCATACCCGGTGATAACGTTCCAAGTGTGCCTTTATTTTTCAAGTTATCAGCCACGAAGTTTCCCGCAATGTCACTGTCGCGCGGCACTCGAATGAGCCTGGTTAAGAAGTTGATAGAGAGGTCGGCGACTCCTTTGCCGATTTCGAGCGCTTCACTTAATATCCGCCTGGCTATCCAAGTATATGTTAACTGACGTCACACTATTCAGCAGAGTTCTACCGCTTCCTTGATAACAGCTATTTCCGCCTCAAAAATACTGCAGAAGTGCGGAAGCCTGAACATAGTTTTTATGGAGAGCTCCCTGCCTCCAAATTTTGATCCTTCCATGAAGAACTTCAATGCACCCTTCTTCCAGTAAATCCGTCCTCTATCCAGTCCTTTCTTGAAGGAATGTAGAGGTACAGAAGATGCTAACTACTGGGAGCCATTTCGTAGGCGCTGAAATCTGCCGGTTCAGGGACCAAATCAAAGTCCTCCAGAACTCCAGAGTGTCCAGATTTCGAGCCAGTTAACAGCGCGGTTTCCCCTCAGCCTGATGGCAGCTCCTGCTGCCACAATTTTGCCTGTAATATGTATAGGCGTAATGTTCAGCATGACGTTAAACGCCAGTGTCGGAATGGTGCGCTATATGCGCTCTAGTTGCTTAACAAGTATAGCTTTCTCTTGTGAGTTCCACCAGACAAGGGCACCATAAAACAAGATAGGCTTAATTGTGGTTTCATAGAGCCAATAAATTACTTTGGGCGAAAGACCCCACCTCTTACCAGTAACTTCCCTTTCTTCAAGGCTTCCACGACAGTTTCCTATCCAAGATCAGTTCAAAGTACTTGGCCCTGTTGGAGAGCTACAGACGTACACCCCGCATCGAGGGAAGACCTATATCGGGGACCTTATATACTGCCTAGTAAACAAGACCACTTCCATCTTACTGGGATTGACTGCGCAACCGCAGTTGACCGTCCATCTAGCTATCAAGTTCAGGCAACCTTGAGTTAGATCTAAAAAGTGCAACAGAGGGAATGCCTCCTTGCGGATTGCCCCTGCTGACTCTACGCTGAGGGAAGGCGCTTCCTCCACCCCGACAGTTCTGTATCGAAGTAAACTGTAAATGAGCCTATTAACCAGCTTGCCTTCGAAATGGCATGGTTGAACCCCCCATCGATATCGAGAAAGGCCCCTTTGGCGTAGTAATTATGAGCGAAGGCTTCTCTATCCACTTTTGTAATGCGTGTAGTGGATTGAGTTAAAATCTTACGACTATGATGTACATATGTATTTTTTCCCTACAGACTATTCGTTGTCCCTCTAAAAGTAAAACATGTACAAGCGCATTGACTATTACTCCATCACAGCATGCTTAGACATCTGGTGGCAAGATAAATACGAAAGAAGCTAACTTTCGTAGCAGACACCACAACCGTTCGGTCACAGTAATATGCGGAGGCTCAGACCGCATTGCAGTGTCTCAGGCCCCTGGAAATAGGACGAGAAGGATGAAGGAAAGGACCTAGGTTCTTCCGCCACATTTATACTTTTACGCGGATGGGTCAAAGATGGCTCAAAGGGTGGGTACTGTTTTCGTCGTACAATTCGTACCATCTCCCAGATTACTGCAGCATTTTCCAAGCCAAAATATCCTCTGAAAAGGCTTTCAATACTGGCCAAGCAGTCATAAAGGCAGTAAGCGCTGTGATGCCCAAGATATGTATGTATGTAGGTGTGCTTTGTGTTAACAGAGGAAACTGGACGAATTGGAATAGAAGGAAATAAGCCAGCCGAAGTCTCATGCCCAAAGCGGATATCCTGCAAATCGGCCGCGATCAGCGTCGCCAAAGAAATTAATTATCTGGGAATATTACTCCTGAGAATATTAGAGCTGGCGTATATGGCCTCTGGGCAACTTCCCAAACATCTCACAAGTGGAAGTCTATGCTATTAGACTGGTGGAGATTGGGCTCCTACTACGACATTCATAGGGCACTTATAGCTCGTCTGTAAGTCGTCGAGTCCAGTGGTTATTCTGTATAGGCATGATCGGGTGCTCGCGTCTGTAACACCCTACCAGAAACTGCTTGCTGGACTTTTTTTGGTGCTCCCTTACGAGGAGCTTTTGGACCTTGCTATGTAGAGGGTGTTCAGGCCACATAACTTTTTTTGGTGCTCCCTTACGAGGAGCTTTTGGACCTTGCTATGTAGAGGGTGTTCAGGCCACATAAGGCATACAGTCGCTGTCCGGAGTGCGTCGTTTTGACAAGCCTGTAGCTTCTTTCACTGCGTCCAACTAATCCCCGGCGATCATACGTGCGCTGTATGTTGCCAGCAACGTATCTTTGTCTTTGCCCCGGGTGCTGCCGGCAAGCGACTTGGGGACCTTTTTGCGGATCTGCGCTTTATTGACAATTGCGGTTGCGTGTGCAGAGAAGGAAAGCAGGCTATCAAAGGTAACCCGTAAGTTCTTCGGGCTGTTCACCGTCGGATTGTTGTCATCGACGTGAATGTCTAGTTGAAGCCTGACCTCCTCCGTCCAGGTGGTGAAAAGGGTCGCCGTGAATTTGGTCGCGGAGAGGATTACATCCCTATTGCAAGTGTCGACTAGCAGTAGATAAACGACTATTATTCAATTATCGCTTTTCCATGGTATTGTGAATGCCATTTCTCGTTCAATAAGCGTCTGTGAATAGTTTTTACTCGCTCATCCTTCTTCAACTACCAGTCGACACTCGCAACAGGGTTGCTAGGCTCCGCGCAGTGAAGAAGCGAGAAAGTTCGGAGAGGTAGCCGTTTACTTTCGAGCAGAAGTCATCAATTTCCCGAATCTGTATTGTTGCCCTTATTTAGGGCCAACCTTCGTGGAAATGAATGCGATGAGAACTTCCGGTCTTGCCATGATAGATTAATTTGCAGCACCTCCCCGGTGCACCGGAGGGAAGTTTATTTGGGTAGAAGTTAAAACATGATTGGCGAAGAACTTTCTACTCATTCTACGTGGTTTGAAAGTCCTGTCTTTGCATTCGATCGATGACTGCCCGACAATTTAACGCTTCGAGTTTGTGAGAACGAAGATTATGTAATGGCCCTAATACAGCGTGGTCGTAACACTCGTTCACGGATCGAAACCCATACGAAAGAAATTTAGGCGCTACGTCAGTCGTATAAGCGGAATGGGATATAGTACGTTCTCGTATGTCATAAAATTGTGTTTTTACGTGACGAATAATACGATATCGTGTGTCCATTAGAGCCCAGGTTAAGCTCCAAGAACGCTTCTGATTACAGTTATATCCGCCGCGCAAATTCCTTGCGAACGATGAAGTCCGTCTGCAAGTCTCTGAAAAGGATTGGCCACTATAAGCAAGTTGAGTACCAACATTACAAAGAATAATTCTCCCATCCCCGCTCTGAATTGAATTACAAGATTGAATTTATCGGTTCAATCGTCACAATCTTGAGTATTTTTTGTAAATTTTTACTTTTACTATCTAAAATAATTTTTACTACCATTTCGTTGCACAAATAAAACCAGGGTTTTGTTTTTTTCAACACATATTGCTTTATTAACTGAATAGCGTACAAATATTCAACAATTATGTAGTGAAATTTGTCTGATATCATTGAAATTTATTTGTTAAAAATCACGTAAAACTATGCTACACTTATATTCAAAATAAATGCTTAAACTAACAAATGAATCAGGCTGATTCATAGCGAGATTTCATCATTTTCTTTATGTAAGTTTTGTAGTCTTCCCCGGGTGTGATGCCAGATTTGTTGCCCAAGCCAACTGTAGACGAACGTGCTTCAGCCTGAATATAAACAAAAATTAGAAACAAAAACGTGATTACCAAACTTTTCACACGCTTTATACAGCCAATTGGCATACCTCTATGATGCTTGTGCGTCCTTGATTTTTGCGACCTAGACCTTGTCCCTCAGACCAGCCCATTTTTTGCAGTAACCGATTGCCAACATTGTTAGAACCTATCGGCATAGGCGGCGCTTCGGGTTGGCGTGCTGCCACTGACTTCATTTCCATTTCGAACCGCTCACGGCTGCGATTCGTAACAGGTGGATCGCTTTCACCATACTTTTGACGGCGCTCTTTGGCGCGATCGCGGTAATTACTAAAAAGATTTTGATTAAGAAAATAGCACGCCTAATAAAATAAAAAGATAAAACTAATGTAAAACACTTACGACAAAGCTACACTCATAGAGTCCCCACCGCCACTTGCACCACGCGCCAATTGGAATTTTTGCAAATTCTCCTTATGCAAATTTGAAATTTTTAAATGCTTTTGCAAAATTTCCAACGACTGAAATGCGCGCTTGCATAGCAGACATGTCAGTTTCTGAAAGTCGACATAGTCCTTTTCACTCGCCTCATTAGAGCCACCTGCTGATGTTGATGGCCCTAGTGCGGCGTGTTCCTCATCTGAATCAGAGGCATAAGCTGTTAGTTTGTTGGCAATCGCCGGCGTTGGCATATAATCCACTAATTTTGTACGTTCCTTCTTCTCCAATATTGAAAAGCCCACATCAGCATAACCACTGGATAAGTGTCCGGAGCTACCAGCGCCTGCACCCGCAGCTCGAGTCGGCGCATCGTCCGATTTCGAAGGCAATATAGGCTGTGGCGTTGCAACTACTGTATAATCTTTCTTTTGATTCAATTGCTTAGCCCACTTTTCCATATCCTTAACTATTTTTTTGGCAACCTTCACCTTATCATGTTTATTCGTTGAGTCCTTCTTTTCTTTCTTTTCATCCTCATTGGCAGCCGTCGCCGTAGCAGCTGCGCTACCAGCAGCTGAATTACCCGCCTTACCATCTTCACCTGTTTCGCTCTTTACTACATCCTGCACGGTGGCTGCAGCGGCTGCGGGTGTGGCCAGCACATAAGTGCTTTTCCGCTGATCCCAATAAAGGTATGCGCCAGTTTCACTATTGTAATAATATTGTGAGTGTGCATCGTAGTATAGCCCCGTTGTAGGATCATAATAATAGCCTGAAGTTTCATCGTACTGATACAGTGTAACATCGGGGGTAGCTTAAGCGTAAAGAAACATGAATATAGTTAGTAGTTTAGTAGTAGAAGTAAAAAATTCTGCATAAATGCTTACGATAAGTTTTGCCATCATTTCCTTTCGGAGTAACAACGCTCTTTAGCGCTAAACTTGCTTTCACCGCCGCCGCTGCGGCAGCTGCAGCTGCTGCTGCTTGCGTTGCTGTCGTCTCAATGCTATTCATTTTCTTCTGCTTTCGTTGTATGGCAGAGAGCGCCACAGCAGCCGCCGAATTCGCTGACGTTTCTTCTACTTGGACAGAGGGCAAGTTGCCATAATGGCCTTTATTTATTTCACCTATGTAATACTCTGTATAGTATTGCAAATAGTGAGCATGCTCCGCCGGCGTCGACGCATACAATGCGGCACTATATTCGGCCAGACGTGGCACGTCGGCCAGCGTGTACTCCGCTCCAGCAGCTCCTAGGGAACCGGAAGCGGCCATCATTTCAGCAGCCGTCATTGGACCAATTGTAACGGTTGCAGAAGAACTCGTTACGGAATCATTTTTCTTCGGTACTATTTGGCGATTTTCGTGATCTATGCAATAGGTGATGAGTACTGCGTAGCATAAGGACAGACAAAATATTAGTTTAAAATAAAATTTGTTTTTGAGAACAGAGAATATGGGAACATTTTAAACCAAAAAATATAGCAATAAAATAATATAAAAATAGGTAACCAGAACTATAATTCACCCAAAACTTACATTGTCGACCATCAATGGTCAATGGCGGATCCAACGCTTTCAACGCACTATACAAATTCATCGAGTCAATCAGGCTATCGAAATTCAAGTAACAAATGCCACGTGACGTCTGCGTTAATGTATCACGACTAACGAGTATTTTCGTTATTTTACCAGCCAATTCCGGCACGTGCTGTTGCATGGCGGTGAGTACGGTCTCCTCCGTAGTTAGAGTATCCAAATTGCGTAACATGATCTCTGCATTGAGGATTGAAGGATCAGTAGAATTTAGTTCAATATATTAGTTTTTGAAAATGATTTGTATATGGCTTGTAATATTGCTTAGATTGATTTTGAGCAATTATTTTGTTAGATATACTTTTCGTTAGGATGTTGCTAACTTCTTCGCTACCCTCGCCGATTTTTTCACTATCACCACGCGATGCATAGCACTTAAAGCAGATATCGCGTCGTTTGAAATTCAGAACGCCACACTTAAAAAGGGTAGAAAAGAAAAATCATTTAATTAAAGGAATTCAAAAGAAATCCAACTCGTTTGTTATGTTTTATATAACTTACCTTGAAGCAATGCCAGTCAGTGACATTCACCTTTTGTTTGGGTGAAACGCTATATTGTAGATTGGCACACGAATGATCCGGCAATTGCAGTGAGCCCTAGAATGTATAAACATGGAAGAGAATGAAAGAAAAAAAGAAATACATTAGTAACTATTGACTTTTTAGGTTCCCACAGACTACACAGTCACCGGTTGGTTGATTGCATGATTTGCATGTTGCGGGATTGCACTCGATTTTGTTGCTTTACTCGCTAGAACTCGAACATGACTCTTGATGACACTAGTTATGTTTTTTCACAATTTGTACATACATATGTACATTTATGACATTTCCACATAAATTCGTTTAACGCCCAAATATGCAAATATTCTAATTGAATCTCGGCTGTATAATTGTATTTATATATGGTTTGTGCTCTGGCTGAGCTATTGCATGCTTTATCCGATGTACTTTTATTTTTGCTTGAATTTATTTTGCGCTTAAGTTTTGGCATCAGCTGATTTATTGCGTTGATGTAATAGCGATTGTGTGTTTCCCTATAACTACATAAACTTGACTGGCTTAGTTCTCTTAATAATGAACTTATTTTGGCTATCCCAAAACAGCTTTGTATTGAATTTAATTAAATTATTTTTTGAATGTAATTATAAAATTAAACTGAGCTGAGTATGTTAAAAATCAGTCATTGGGATGATCTTCGGCGAGCAGTTCGCAATTTGGCAAAATAAGTCAAATACGCAACAAATTACCTGAAGCAATTTTAATTCCTTAATTTTACTTTTAACATTAACATTAACATTAAAAATTAAGTATAAGCTTCAACTTCAAAATTTGCTACCAATAAATTTTTCGATTTGCCTAATTGTTAGAGGGGGGGCAACTACTTTCCAACAATTTAGAATATTATTACCTACTCTGTAGTATTCCCTAAACCCCCTCACAATTCCTAACCATTTTTTACACTATAATGCAATTAAAAGAATGCATGCGCTTGAACGTGATCTGAGATCTTTTGATGGGAGTGTGTAGAGGTGGTTGAGCAACAAGTGATACCTGGGTTAGCTCCATCCAACGTGCAGCTTCATCAATGGTACTAAACTCGACGAATGCGAAACCTCGTGATGCACCTAAATTTTAGATAGAAGCAAATACAAAATATTTACGTCAAAAAATAATGTATTTTTGTTGTTGTTGAATAAAGTTGGATTTTTTTTAATGTGGAATTGCAACAAATATCGTTTCATGTTGTTAATTCAATTACTACAAGCAATAAAAGGTATAATTGTTTGTAGATTTTTCTATTGTAGATGCTGCTGTATACTTGGAACCGTTGCATTTGTATGAAGTCCCATTTTTTTGTTTCTATTGCATTTGAAATATTTTACAAGTTTCAACCGAGTACTTACGTGTTATGAATATTACATACTTTCTTCTCTTAGAAATGTATTTTCTTAAAACTAATATGCTAAGAATATGTTTTTAAAAGTAAAATATTGCCTTTGAAACCCACCTGTTTGACGTTTGCGTATAAGACGAATCGAGGCGGTCATCCCTTGTTGTATTAGAATGCTCATTAGCTGCCAATATATAAATGAGTGTATTTAAAAAATTCGTGTATTTTTCAATCATTTAACTAATCCTTACATCAGCTTCTGTTATATGCGACTGTAAACCAAGCACGATTATAGTATTGGAAGGTGTTTTGTTGTAGAAGTGAGTATGCAAACTCTCATCGCTGTCATCACTCTCGTGATCATTCTCGTAACGTCGAGCATAACGATTGTGGCGATTATCCCTGAAGCGATAAAGTATGTAAAGAATATAAAATATTATCTATCGAGTAATTAGCATAGTGGTGCGCTCACCTTCTATCACGATCCCGATCATAATCACGCTCACGGTCTCTTTCACGTTCATAATCGCGTCCTTTATCCCTGGCCCGTTCGTTCCAAAACCGATCACGTTCGTCAGCATAGTCATCATCAATGCCGCCACCACCACCACCACCACCACCACGACCACGATGCCCACGATTATTATAACTTTTATCCTCTTGATAATCATCATATATTAAATCGCGATATAAATCTTTTTCAACGCTACCCCCACGTCTATGTGGGCCCATACGATCACGCGATCTAGAGCGGGTATTGCGGCGACGAAAATTTTGGTCACGGCTACGCTCACTAATAGTAAAGCAAGCAAAATATTTGTAAGAGAAACGTTTGTGTTAGTAAAAGTATGTACGTGGAAAAGGAAATACTTGTCGCTCTTTTGCTGGAAGAACGTAGTAATTTAAACACAAAAATCGAGTTAAGTTTGAAAAAAGGCGGTCAAAACCATGGTATATATCAACGGTGGGCAATCGCGACTCTTTGAGCCAAATGCGGATCTTTTCTTAGCAAAGTGCGGCTCTTTTTACTTTCTCTTTGCTTAGAACATTTTGGCTCTTTTTACTTTTTAAAATACATATTTCTTTGCTGAACATTCTTTTCCATTGTGTTGTTTTTTTTTTTTTTATTTTATTCTCTTTATATACACATACGCAAATTGAGATCGGAATATTACCCGCACTCGGAGAATGAAAATTGGCTTTCTGACTTAATGTTCCTCACCATGAACCAACTACAGACTACAGATCACCTAATTAGCCATCGTTGTATTTGTAATCGATTTTCAGAAAAAAGTTTTCATAGCGTTTTTGTTTGTGCGTATGTTTGGTTTGCCAAGAGGCGTAAATTTGCGTGAAAACTGGGTGCACTTTGCGGTCAGAACGCTGGTATTGAAAAATCGAGCTGTGTTGATGCTAAGCGGTTGTAAAACACTTACTATCACGAAACCTATATTTTATAAACACCTTCGGCTCATTTTTATTCGGTTTCACTTATTATATTTTATAATAAATGCCAATATAATCGCACTCAAGCACCGCGCCTTTTTCGTTTTCTTTGTTTGTTTTCATTCTAAGGCAGATGTCAAAAACGCTCAGGAAAAATTTTTTTTCTTGCTTCTTTGATTAGGTGATCTTGTATTTTTGGTTCATGGTTCTTTACCGATATGATGGAACATTTGGCAAAACTTGAATTTGTCTCTACAAGGAGAGAATACAATTTTTTTTGATTTGTCGCAATTTATTTTAAGTTTTGAAGCTAAACTACGTTTTTTTATTTATGATCTCAAAAAAAATAATATTTCACCATTTTCCATGGCTAGAAAAAATATTTCACATGATTTGAAAGCAGATTTTGAAAAAAGATTTGCCGATTCGAAATTATTTAAATGTACGTTTGCATACTTCATAAACCCTTTTTTATGTAACATAATTGAGGATGAATTTACAATACTTCGTTTTCATTTATGTGCGTAAGTACATATTCAGTAATAACAAAATAAAAATAAATATTACATTTTAGTCCATAAACTACATAAAATCATAGATTCATTACATAAAAAACTGGGAAATTGTCGATTGACGTAAGTTTTATTTTTTAATTTTTTTCAGTGTCAGTACCTTTTTCATCAACAGTTTTCATGTTTATATCAGTCTCCAAGGGTTTCTGACAATTCAAATAACGAACCTAAACCACTGCGCAAACCAAACTAAATGTGTGCATAACAATCACATTTTGTGCGGGAAGTCCCCTTTTTCCATTTACTAGTCCGCCTATGAGGAGTTCGCGTCCGCTCAACGGAGGTTTTTGTTTGATTTGTTATGAAAAGAAATCTTAATGTCCGTTGATAAGAGGTTCGCGTCCGCCCAATAGAGTTTTTGTGTCAATTTTATGCAAAATAACTGTCCGCGTCCGGCCAAGAGAGTGTCCGCTTAAGAGAGAGTAATTTGTTCCGAAATTTATACTTAAAACTTGGTATAGGGAAAAATGTCCGCCCAAGGGAGGTGTCCGTCTAATAGAGGTGTCCGTTAGGAGAGGTTTCACTGTATATATATATTTTCGTATATTTTCAATTTTTGGTACAACGTATATCTGTGAGTCTTTGTACTCTACAATAAAATTCGCAAAGTCAAAAGGCCGTTCACAATTAGTTGCATTCGCGTACCTGATAATTATTGAAAGTTATAAAAACTATCGGCTTTTTGTGTTCGCGTACGCGAAAATCTTGCAAAGTAGGGGAAATTGAGAGAGCAAAATGGCATTTCATTTTGAGGGAAAGCTGCTAGTTTCTGCTGGAAAAAATATTTGCCAACTGCGATTTGCCAACAAGAAAACAGCTGATCAAAAACAGCTGGTTGGAATTTACGCAAATCCCTAAATTGAATTTGATGATTTGGAAGTTAAAATAGTAAAATGGGACTAATTAAACTTGTAGGAAGTAAGTAATTATTCGTTTAGTCAGTGAACTGTGTCAGGATAAGACTTCGGGATATGTTTTAATTTTATACTTTTGAATGTAAACAAAATTTGTATTCGTCTAACTTGTAAGTTTCTGCAAATTTTCTGTTCGCCTACTATTTTGGATATTTTTCTCTTGTGAGAGAACAGATGACATTTCGCCGAAATTTTGTTGTTGGACATTTTTTACTGGAGATTTAAACGAACGTACCTATTGGCCAACCAACATTTAACAGAACTGTTACGAACGGCTTTAACTGACGTAAAACCAGATTTTGAAAATTTGGCCAAAGGGATATTTTGAATTTTCTTTAATATCTATAAATAATATTAATAAAATAAATGTTTTTCATTTCTAATAATAATTTTATTTAAAAATAAAGAAGAATTTACGTCTGGCTCTTTTCGGCCTTGGCCTTGCCCACCCCTGGTATATATGTATGTTGCGTAAAAAATTCTAAACTATTTTTGTCAATTCTGAATCTTTAGTGAAACTTTACTCATTTCCACCTTGTAGCGCAATTATAACAAGAAAATAGCCATTCTTTGATGAAAGGTTTGATGACCGCTTCATCCTCTGGTTTAAACTTTGGTACTTTTTCAAAAAGCTTTTTCAGAACAAGTTTGTTGGAATGGAAGATAATTTTTAAAATTGACTTGGCCAAACGGACATACGTTCTTGTTATTTTCAATTATTATCATTTTTTTTTGTCCAGCACAGAAAGCAATTTTCGGAGAAACTTTCCATTATGGCCGTTCGTTAAAGGTGCGGTGGGCGAAGGGGGAGTGGGCGTGGCACCTCCAACCGATCTTTTTGGAGAGGGCATGAACCGCCATTGATAAAAATGCAACCCCCGACCACCTAGGCCCCCTATGGTTCCCTACGGACCCCTTAGAAAAATGGCCAAAAATCGCAATTTTTACTTGCATCCACAGTATTTTTGCGTAGAATTCCTACCTGCGAAGGCGGCCTTCGGCCGCGCTTAGGGATTATAACCCTTACTACGTAGAATTCTCCTTTCTGTTTGACCTAACTGGGGCTACCGCCCCAGTGATGTAACCTTGGGAAAGGATGAGGTAACTAGAATTCCCTTTCTGTGTGCTAAACCTGGGCCGCCGCCCCAGTGATGTCTATTTTGGTTACTAGGTGTTTTATAAAAATGTCTTTTATATAAAAATGTGTATATAAAAATGTATTGCGCAAATGAATATTTAACATTTTTCAAGCGAATAAACGTAAATGGAAATTGTGATTTTTGGCAATTTTTCTAAGGATTCCCTAGGGCACCATAGGGGACCTAGGTGGTCGGGGGTTGCATATTTGTCAATGGCGGTTCATTCCCTCTCCAAAAAGGTGGGTTAGAGGTGCCACGCCCACTTACCTTTCGCCCACCGCCCCTTTAACGAACGGTCATAAAGGAAAGCCAACCCATATTTTCGATTTTTTTAATTTATGAGTATGTCGTTTTTCCAGCAAATATGTAATATATACATACAAACATACATATTTATCTAAATTTGCATCTAAAGTTTCTACTAGTCCAATACTAAAACATAAAGCATGGAAAAATCTTACCGCGATCTTGAGCGCGATCGGGAACGACTGTAGCGACGGTAGTCTCGTCGCGGGCCTCCACCAGCCATGTTGCCGCCATTGCGATGCCGGCGATTACCTGGGGATATGCTACGTGAACCTATTTCATAAACATAACCAGTATAGTTTAATTAGATAGCAAAATCAATTAATGCATTTCAATACAAGTAATATTCAATTAAATTAGCGCATGATTCTTACGTCTATCCATATTCATTATGGCTGCTGCTAAAAATTTCCTCAATTAATTAGCGAGTTACAAAGCAAACGTGTGTGTATGTAGTGTAATATCAGTGGACTTTGGGAAAACTATCTAACACTTCTATTAAACCACACTCTTTGTATTTCTTTTTTACTTTTAATGTTACTTTTCTTTTTTAAGATATTATTAACTATATTTCTATAATTAATAAAATAGAATTTATATAGAAACTCCCACGATGAAAAATGCAAATTGAGGACCACATCGATTTTTTACGTTTGACAGTACCTGTTCTAGCGAGTAGAGATGCGACAAACACATCGATTTTTGTAAATAATCGATATTAGGACGACGTGGATGTTTAGGTCGATAGGTCTGTTCGTTGAGTGCACTAAACGTTAAAACAGTGCATTTCAGAACAATATCCGACATTTAGCGTAAGAAAATACTTATGATTAGTGCAAGAAAAACCCTAATTGAACGCTTTTTCCTGCACTAGAGTACTTTAGTGCGTCCATCGAACAGACCTTTAGTGCGTTTCTGTAAGAAACCGAAAAATTCTCGTTCGAGATAGCGGCTAAATTACACATGAAATCCATGAACCAAAAATTCAAAAACACGAAAAAACGCGACGTTGTTTTTGTAACTAGTTTTAAGAAAGAAGTATGTTAAAGCGGGTGCGTCAGCTGAGTATTTGTTTACATCACATGCACCATTATTTTACACTTTGCTTTCACTAAGGAAGAGTTAAGCTATCTGCACACTTGTCGTCCAATCATAGTTGCGTTATCGTCTCGCCCTGAAATTTTGAGCCGAGCCAAGAATGATAGAATACAAGATTGCGCCGTCCTGGGCGTTGACATTTGTGTACCACAAGTAAACAAAGAATAGAGCGAAAAGAAGAACGAGTTGAAACTGCCAAAACAGTTCACTTTACAGCGAAAAACGTGTTATAATTTTGCTAAATGCGAGAATATTGCATTTTTACCTAATCTATTAGAAAATAGGTAACATTTTAGTGCACTCCATTGCCTTGCAATTGAGGCTGCTTCAGCAAACGTTTTAGTGCACTCCATTGCTTTGCAATTAAGGCTGCTGCAGAAAACTGCGGCAGTATCTCAGCGGGATTGATTAGTTAACTTGCTAATGGAGGCTGCTTGGAGCAAAAGCAACATCATTGTGAGGAAATGCTGTTAATGTAATAATGAAGAACATTTCGAGAACGGCTTTGCCGTGCCCTACGTACACAAAATGCAGCGATTCGTCCCAGCGCTGCACTTGCATCTACGCATCTTTTATCTTGATGGCTGTCGCAATTTAACACACATCACTTCATTTTATTAGTTTTTACGCAGTCTTCAACTCAAAAATCACTCACAAATTGCAAATTCATACAATTTAAACTGATTTTTCACTTATAATTCAAATTTCTCTTTCGCTGATTTGTAAACAAAGGTTTATTTACAAGTTACCACAACTGTCAAAATCGGCAAAACCAAAGTAGCGGTACCACTGACGGTGCCACCTTTGTTCGCTGCACCGTGGAGCCGAGCACATGCATTTCAAATGAGATCTGCACACTTTTCGTTATCGGCAAACCGTAGAAGATGCAGAAACGGATAAGTACAATTTTAATGCAAATATTAACTTTTCCACTAATTTTTCCCCATAAAATGTAAACAAACAATGCGTGCACAACGATTAGCAAACGACAGTGCCGTACTTATCCGTTTCTGCATCTTCTACGATTTGCCAATACCTAGCCGATAACGACAAGTGTGCCAATCTCCTTTGAAATGCATGTGCTCGGCTCAAAATTTCAGGGCGAGACGATAACGCAACTATGATTGGACGACAAGTGTGCAAATAGCCTTACTCTTAAGTACTCTTAGGTCGGTGTTATGCAGACAAACTTTTGTTTGCCAAATTAAATGGCGGGTGCTTAGATTGCTCAGAGGTGGTTATGTCGAGTTTGGCACAGGGTTGCACGTTCGTTATGGTTTTCATGGCTATTGCCAACACGAAATGAGAAATTCAGATGTACGTAACGCGCACAATTAATATATTTTTTATGATATCGTATAGGCAATTAACTGTGCCCTAATCTTTGAAGCTCCTACAGCATAAATTCAGTTCTCTGGCTTTCGGTACCACGGCAATTTTTGTGTATAGCAACAATTGTCTAAAATTTGTGTATATGACAACACCGAGTTTGCTGCAATTTGACCAAACAAAATTAGTTTGCTATGAGAGTCGCCAAACTCGCTGTCTCCGAGTTTGCTGCAACAAAAATTGCACGCAGTTTGCCAAACAACCTTTTTCAATTCAATTTTGGTAAGAACTATAATAATAATAATACATTGGCGCTTACACATCTGTTAGTGTTTGGCCGAGCCTCTCCTCCGACTTGTGGCGCGCGCCTTGATGTTGTCACACAAATCGGAGGGACCTACAGTTTTACGCCGACTCCGAACTGCGATTGTATTTTTATGAGAAGCTGTTTTTCATGGCAGAAATACACTCGGAGGTTTGCCATTGCCTGCCGAGGGACGACCGCTGTTAAGAAAAAATCTTTTTCTATATTTTTTGCGATGTTGCTTTGACCAAGGGTTGAACCCAGGTGTTGATGAGTGAAAGCGCGCACTGCTTACCACTACACCACAGCGGCCATAAGAACTATACAACATATATATACGTACGTTTACCAAATTAAAGGGAATCGAATTTCCTACTAGATATATCAAATTTTTCAAAATACATCCATTGGTTTTTAAGAAATCTTGATTTCAAATAGCTTATTTTGAACTTTAACCTTTGATAATTGTTGTTGTTGTTTCCCCAAAAAAAGAAGTATACCGTACCGTATACCGTATACTCAGCTCAATCATCTCTATCGATCCCAATATTTTGTTTTCTAATTTGAGATTTGGAGCCAAATTCCCATATTCTCAATTGTCTTGTCGCATTTGTCTTATTTAAACGAAGCGTACTTCATAAAAATAAAGAATAAAGATATAGCTTTACAAAAGGTTTATAAATTGAAAAAATTCATCAAAACGTCAATTTATAAAGCTTTTTAAACCTACTTAATTTTTTATGAATAAGGCCATTAGCTTATAATATTACATTTACATTGGACCAACCCTGCAAAAATCGCGACTACTCCATGCATGCGTGTAAAGAGTACTCCCTAAGGACCAAAGTGTACTCCAAAATTAACCACAATTCATATAAAAAATATGGTCCAATTAACATTGCGATGTCCTAGGGCAGGACCATATACTCCATCCCTGCATTACATCAGAGTAGCACAAAACTACTCCAACATATTAACAATGGCATTGTTGTTATATTTTTTCGTTTGTACACGCTTTTGTTCTTCACTTCTCAAATGCTTTTTCGAAATTAATAAAAACCAAGACAAAAATTAAAAATTACATGTTGCCTCTGACGGTATTCGAACCCGAACATGCTGGGAGCTAAGAACTAACAGCGAGCATCTCTACACGTTCAGCTACAGCCAGACATGCAAATGTGCTTTCAAATACTCAACTTCAATCACGTTTCGTTAAAACACGAGCAGTGATCGGATAACAAACAATAAGCTGGCGCAGAGACACGAGTTGGTCCGCTACAGCATGACAGAGGAACACTTTTGTAAGTACTCCAATTTACCACAAATAGACTACATGGTCCAACGATTTTTGCAGGGAAAATGCGTGATTTGAAATCAGTCATTTGAAGGTGTTTACACTGTTTGATTCGCATTTCCTTTGACTTCTCATCAAATGAAAAGGGAAGACAAAAACAAAATGTATGTAAACAAACACTACATTTATTATATTGTTAACGCTTTTTGGACACAAAAAGGCAATTATTCTTTGATTAAACTAAAAATGTGTAAAGCTCTTGTATAAATTAACAATTTTTACACACAAATTTCTTTTTTTTTTTTGGGGTTTTGCTGTGTATGGCTGGGCTTAAGCCTTAAATCGCCAATTATCCCTCCTGTTGTTGTACTGCCAAAAACGATCTGCGTGTCCACGCAGTGCTGACGTCTCCAGGATGTGTTTTATAGAGCACAGTTCCAGTTGATTTATAGCTTTGATACGCGAAAGTCATTTGTGACGTTTAGCATAAGAGTACGTTTATACATAACGTACATATGTATTTGATGACTTAAAAAAAAAACAAGAGAGTGGTGGACGGTTATAGTTGCCACACATAAACCGTATAAGAGATAATATGATTTTAAAATTTTGCTTCGACTTTTTGTAGAAAATCTGCTAGTTGAGTAATTTTGCAAAAATTCATGTCTCGGAACAAATCGTGAAAATCTGTGTTGTTTTGAAAAATTTCGAAATTTACTCTGGTATCATTTAACAGCCGACAGTGAAAAGTCTGATGAATGTAGCTGTCGATTTCACCACATCTGCATGTGTTGTAAGCGATGGCTTTAATTTTATATAGGTAAGCAGTATCATAAGTGAAACCTGAGAGAATTCTGTTAAGGGTTTTTATTGTTTTAGGCGCAAGTGGGCACTTATAAAACCAGGTTCTCCTTTTCCTACATGTAAACACTTTGGAAAAAAGATTAGGTTTTTCCATCGAAAAGGCTTTAAAGCCCTCAAGCCAACCTTCTCTAATTTGGTTTTTGATAGTATTTAGGGCTTCAGCCACCGACAGTTTAACATCTAGGGTATGTTCGCTGATTATAGCGTCTTTTGCAATACGGTCCGCCTTTTCATTGCCTAAAATCCCTTTATGGCTGGGTGTCCAAATAATTGTCACTCTATTAAAGTCCCCTTGTTGTATGAGTTTGTGGATTTCTAAAACACAGTAATTATCAGTTCTGACCTTCAGAAGCAGTTGGCACGCCGTTAAACTGTCCGTGAAAATAGCTATTTTGCTGTACTGCCCTTGGGCAGCTAGTTCTAAGGCTTTTTTAATTGCATTTAACTCACCAAAACTCGAGGATGATTTAAAAGGGAGCCTAAATCCATGCTCACTCTTTGTCGTGTGATTATATATACCGCACCCAGTTGAGTTTGCACCCACGGAGGCATCCGTATAAAATATTTTAAAGTTGCTTTGTTCATACTCTTGAAGAAGTTGAGAATATATCGCTTGCGCCTGCTCAGGTGCAATATTCTGTTTTTTTTCATTAAAGGATTTGGTCACTATTGTGAGGTTGGGAGAAAAAATAGGGGCATCAATCACCTCAAGTCTGTCAAAAATATGTTTGAACTCCCTAAAAATATAGCCATAACTGGATTTGACATTAGGGTATCTGTCTAGAGAAATCCTAAAGTCTTCATCAATCTTGAAGGTGTTGATCAGTTCTTTTGCAGTGAGCCATTTTGCTCTATCAGCCGGTGGAAGCTCATTTGCAATGGCATACAAAAGTGGAATCGGTGTGGCAGGAGTTGCCCCTAAGCACCTCCTAAGGAAACTGTTTTGGAAAGTACGTATTTTGTTGTTGACTGTGGCTGAGCAGTGTGCCGTAGAGGACCGGCAATACTCAATTTTGCTTCTAACCAGGGATTTGTAGTAGTTTAGACTTACTTGGGGATGCAGACCTGCCTTAATGGAGGTCAGACACTTGAAAAGATTGGAATTTCTGTGTGACCTTTTGATCACCTCGTTGTAATGTTCGCTGACCGCCAGAGATGCGCTTATATGTCTCCCCAAAAATTTAAAAGATGTCACTTGCTCAATTCTTCTGCTGTGGAGAAAGATGTCAATTTTATTTCTGCTGCCCTGACATAGGTACATAATTCTGGTTTTAGCTGGGTTGCAGGAAAGGTTGATGTCTTTACAAAGATCTACAAAGGTGAGTATTTTTTGTTGCAGGTTTATAATTGCATCCGCAAGGTTGGGTTTGAAAGACAAAATGAGAAAGTCGTCAGCAAACTGATAAAGTTCAGTGCTTCCGTCTTCTATGCTATGTAGGTTCCTCGTATACAAGTTGAAAAGGCAGGGTGAAAGGCAGCTGCCCTGAGGAAGCCCATTCCTCACGTCAACAGTTTCTTTACCTAGTTGAAGCTTCCTTAATGCCAAAAAGTTTATGATCCACTCCCTGTATGTTTCATTCAGTCCCACGTCTTCCATGATTCGTTGTAGTTTAGAGAGCTCCACGCAGTTATAGGCGTTACTAACATCTGTCGAGCATAAAATTACCTTAAAGCCCTGGCTTTTTAGGAGAGCTGCCCTATGTAAAAAATAATTGATGCAAATTGTGGCTGATCTACCTTTTCTATATGCAAAAGAGTGGTCAGGGAATGTCTTATTAATTTCAAGGAAATCAGATATACGATTTTTGATACATAAGTTAATACATTTAAGAAAAACAGAGATTAATGCTATAGGCCTAAAGCTAGTTACCAAGTTAATATCACAGTCTTTCTTGGGGATGGGTACAATTTTAATTGTACGCCACTCCTCAGGTATTTTATTGGTTAAGAAGAGGTTATTAAGCACTGTACGTATATTATTGAGTGCCATGTCAGGTAGAACCTTTAACATTTTGTACGTAATTTTGTCTGCTCCACCTGCAGAGTTGCTGCTTTTGCTGTGGATTGTCTTGTATAATTCTTCAAAAGTAATCAGTAATTCATTGTCTGGTTCAAGCCGCGTATTTACAAGAATTGCTTCACCTGAGTGAGGGACTTGGTTTGCAACAAATTGAAGGAAATCCTTATCATTTTCGCTTGCCCAGGAAGTATGATTTGCTTGTTTAAAGTCGCCTCTAAGGGCTTTGACAAATCTCCATGCCTCTTTGCTTGACGGGTTTTCATTAAGGCTTTCTATTTTGTTGTTGAAATTTATTTTTTTGGCATCTTTTATTTTGGCTTTCCATTCTTTTTTAATGTCAAGAAGATTTTGGAAGTTTTCAGGGGAGGGGTGCTTATTGCATTTTTGCTGTGCTATTCTAAGAAACCTATATGTTTTGCTCAAGTTCTCATTCCACCAACTCTTAGGTTGTCTTTTATTGCTAGTTACATATGTTGCTGTACTAAGTTCATTTTTGAATTTGTGTTGAATATCTTCCAGATCCGGTTCTATTTCAATATTTTGCAGATTTGAAAGGAGTTTTTTTCGAGAAAGAAATTTGTTGTGAACAAGGGATATTGCACCATTTTCTATTATAATAGGAAAATGATGGCTTCCTCCGATCCTGATTGGATCAGTCCTCCACTTGAAGGTAGAGTTTGAATTGGTGAAGGATAAATCCAACACCGAACCATTTGACGACATAGCGTCTCTTTTAAAAGTTATTGAACCATCATTGAGATGCCAGAAGTTATGCTGAAGAATGATATTATTCAGGTTGGTGCCCCTGCATGACTGGAAGTCATCGCCCCATACCCTGGCTCTGGCGTTGAAATCTCCAAGAAGAAGGACATTTTCAAAACCCTCCAGAAAGGACAAGACTCTCTCAATCTCCGCATTGAATGGGTTAGTTGGGATGTTGGGTGGGAAATATGTAGCACAAATAATCAAGTTAGGTTTAAGGTTGCATGTTCGAACAATAAGTACGTCATAATCAGTCAAAAAGGAAATTTTTTGGAATTTGATGGCTTTGGCGAGTGCAATAGCAACCCCTCCGTAGCCATCTTCCCTGTTTTTTTCAAGAATGTTAAAGTTAATAAGGTTTCTATGTTTCGGTTCATTAGAAGTGAATATTTCACTAAAGCAAGCAATGTCAAAAAGGTTGTGGTTCAGATAGTATTCGATTGAGTTAATGTTTGATTTTAGCGATTGGCAATTGTATTGCAAAATCTTCATAGTGTGGTTAAGGTGGTGTCATTTATTGCCTGATTTATCAGGACCGTATCTTCAGAAATGGCACTTTGATCAAATTTTTTTTTAATAAGTAGGATTTTTTCCAGGGTTTCCCCCATTTGCGCACTGATACATTTCTCCTGTACTACCTTGAAGAGTTCAGTTATCATCCTCTCCAGCTCAGTTACCTTCCCCTTTAGGTACTCCGGTTTGTCTAACACTGACTGTGATTCCCTATTTGCTTTTCTGCTGAAATGCGGGCTGCGGGTAGTTCGCGCTTGATTTGTCTCTGCGGGCACTTTTCTAGCCATTGTACTATACCTAGTTCTGGTTAATCTTCTGTTTACTTCCTGGTTCCTGTCCCTGATCGGTTCCTCAACAGAGTTTAAAGGTGGAAACTCTACGTCTTCCACAGCTAATAGATCAAACCTGTTGCTACTTTCAGGAAAGTATGCTTTTAAAGTTTCGCGTCGCGATAATTTTTTGACTACCCTAATGTGATTTACTTCCTGTTCCCTTTCCCAAACTTTGCACTTGGATTTATCCGAGGAAATGTGATCAGTGCTATGGCACAGAACGCATTTCTGTTGGCACTGAGTGCTATCACAGTCATTATTCCCGCATTTGATGCATCGTTTCCTGCTTTTACAGGAGAATTGTGTGTGTCCTAGACGGCCACAGTTAAGACACTGTCTTAGCGGCGGAATATAGAAATCCACTTTCAGCTTAGTGTGCTCAAAAATTATAAACTTTGGAATTTCTTTGCCTTGAAAACCTATCTTAATGGTAGTAGTAGGAGTTAAATTGTTAGATTCTTTTTCCCTTCTGGAGAAACGCATGACTGAACTAATGGGAATTTCCGAGCTTGCATTTGCTTTAATTTCTTCAACACTGTAGTTTGTGGGTATACCCCTTATAACTCCTTGGGTTTCAATTGCTGTTCTTGGAATGAACGCTCTCAGTCCTTTCTGACTCAGTTTCTCATTCAGCAAGACATTGTTTGCGGAGTACAGGTTTTTAAAAGTGACTTTATATAGTGTACGGCCTATCTTGGTTATAAGGTCCATATCCTTTAATCTATAGCCTTTCAGTTGGTCAAACAATGGGAGACCATTGTTGATTCTACTTTCTTTTAGGTCTTCGCAATTACTTGCATCGATCAATACAAAAATGTCGCCGTAAAAGCCTTGGGGGTATACTAATGTGTCCCCTACTGTATGCAAAGCAGGTGTCGTTATGTTAGTGCCCGTCACTGTTTGCTGCACTGCTGTGCTTTTGTCTGTGTCTTTGACTGTATTTAATACACTTGTGTTTGTAGAGCAACTGCCGTTAAGCGACGCGTTGTCTGTTTTCTCACCTATTCTTTCTTCCGCTATTTCAGGAACTGTACCTTCGTCAGCGTCCATATTTTCTAGCTGGGACTGTCCCGTTATTTTCCTAACCTCACAAACTTCACTTATGATACCGCTTTTGCCAAGATTTTTGGCATTTTGTTTTAAGAAGCCAATAATTCTAGCTTCATTTTCCCTCTTCAAACGTTTCCCCCTCGACAGATTTAGATCCGTAAGCGATTCAAAATCCTCCGCCGATGACGCCCTCGACAAGGATGTCGAAGACGCCATTGGGGATTTTGGCTTTTTTGCTGCCGTTCGCGGCAGCCTCGCGTATTTTTACACACAGATGAACACACAAAAAAATTTTCCTCAACACTAAAAATTTGCAAAATACTCACTTTTGGGTCCGGTTTATTTTAAAGATGGCCTTTATGTTGCCGCTTGCCGAAAAAATCCTTAGAAGTTGGCTAAAAGTCAAAGCCACGAACCGCCGTCAAAATTATCACACTATCGTGTGAGCACACTGTTTAATAAATTAGGCAAAAAGACTAAGAAAATGTTTTCAAACAGTTAGAAGCACTTGTATGTGCTGGCGCCAAAATGTAAAAACCAAAGGGCAGGATAATGCGCAAAACACGTCCACTCACTCTAGAAGATATCGGTCGAATGTGACACACAAATTTCAAAGATTTATTTATTTCGTTGTGTTTGTTTTGTGTTTGAAAAATTCCAAATGTCAAAGACAAACCAAAGCTTTTGTGGAACTTTTGTTTCTGAGTGCGTTCAATAAAACAGTACGGCAATTGGAACGCATTTGTTTCGTGATTTTGTGTAAATGCCTCGAAATGCGTCATTCTGGAAATGTGAATTTGTATGGAGAAATGCGTGATTTGGCCTCGCATTTGAGGTTTCTCGCCCAAATGACGTATTTGGGCTCAATGTAAATGTAATATAAGCTTTTAAGCTGGGATTCCAGCATCGTTTTTATTTAAATTTGAAAATAAAGCATTTTATATACTCTTAAATGTTCTATGTGGCAACTCTACTATTTTTTTGTTGATTTGATGTCACTTTTGGGGGTTTTCTTTCTTTTCAAGCAATCTACATTTTACAATAGAAGCGTGTGTTTATTATTAAATGTATATTTATTATTATAATTACGAAGAAATCAGTTGTGCTCATATAATTATTTAGAAAAAACGCTCAAGTAATCAAATACCTATTTAGGAATATTATGCCTGCTTGACATTGCTTGGTGTTGGTTATTGATAAAAGGTACTTCCCCAAATAAGAAAAAGTGACCATTGAACCACAAGTACTTGTATGTTCCAGAGTTTTTTAGGTTTTCATTCGCAGTTCAAACCTCAATTGGATCACAAATTTAATAATTATGAAAAAGGTCATATTGACAAAAAGCAATACCAAACAATCTCCGTGTACACTGAAGGTAGCCAGCCCTGATAACACTAAATCTAAATTAGCATATGCAGAGCTATTTCGTGCTGTATTACAAATACCCGAAAAGGATGTACAACACCGTATTTTGGATGCAGTCAATGGATGGTCCTCCACCGAACAGATAGTACACGCCTTGTGCCCAAACTGTAAACAGACGTTTGGTAATTCAATTAATAACCGCAAGGAAGTAGCCATACAAACAGATTTAAATGCATCAAATCCAGCTATCAATTTAATAACGCTTGAATATACGCAAAGTGAACTGAATTCAAATGCAAATAGTGATGATAGTCGTGATCGCAGCTCGCCAGCGTTGCAAAAATCTATAATCTCATCAACAATGACACCGAATACAGCATCAGCACAAGTGAATTCAAATCAACTACATAAAACATCAGAATATCAGTCACAACAACTGAATATGCCAAATGGCCCTACAGATGCGCTTACTGTGCCATTGAAAAGAAAGCGGAAGCGAAAAGTGTGTCTGCCACAAGTGGTAAAACGATCCCACGCACAAATGGCACAGGCGCAACTGCAACCTAAGCTAAAATCGAGAAAAGTGGAAAAGGTATATTTGAGTTAATGAAATTAATACATATCCACATGTTAGCGTAACTTTTAAATGTATTGCAGCCAAATAATCCAGACATAGACAGTATCGAGTCTGATGATTTAGATGTATTAAGTATATTTAATCGACGGGACTCGATCGGAACCATTGCATCAGATTTTTTGTTGGAATTGCTGGATATGCCAATTGAGCATACATCGAGGGAAGATCATATTATGCGTCTAATGGCAGAGGAATATCTTAATGCAGATAAGCGAACAGATGGATTGCTGTAAGAATAAATCTTTTAGTAAATTCGTTCTAAGTAAAATTTAACATTTGTTTTTAAAGCGCTATACACCGCACCATTGTTGCAAATGACTTGTATGCATTACGTAGACAAATCTTCGTTTGGAAAAAACTTAGACAAGAAGAGGACTTAAATGGCCTGCTGACCGATGAGGATGAGGTAAATTTGAATGCGTGCATATGTACATATCGTCGTTTAAAAGTACAAAATCGCGTATCGTCATTCTGCAAAACCGCGTAACTGACATTTGCTGACAAAAATTGGATTCGTCCTGAAATATACTAATCAGAAATGCGACTGCTTTATAAAAAAGATAACCATTTCAAAATATGAGTGTTTTTACTCTCATTTTACGTGCTTTTGTATTTTGTTGATACGCGGTTTTGTACTTTAAACGATGGTATGTATATATAAATAATCAAAATTAAAACATTTTCCAACAGAACTGCTTGAAATTGGCAATTTCCCAGGATTGTTTCCCAAAGATAATCGATGTTCTACTTAAGGAAGGCTTAAATGTCAACGAAATCGATAACTTCTCCAATACCTGTGTTCATCTTGCAATACTCAATGAAATTGAATCGAACTCTTTGCGCTTACTTATGCAAAAAATAGACCTAAAACTATTATTGCATCTAAATGATGATGGTTATACACCACTTCATGTGGCTGTGCGAACCAATAGTTACTTGAGTGCAGAAATAATTTTAAATACACTAGACGAACGTCTTAGAACGAAACCTTTATTCGTTCGAGATATACGAAAGGCATCTACTGAAGCTGATTTTAATAAATATTATGAAGAGATATGTAGAAATCTAGCGCAAAAATATGGTAATTTAACAAAAAATATACAGCCAAAATTAAAGAAGGCATTTTTGGAGACAGGTGATCGAAAAAGTGGAAATACAGCTCTATTTTTCGCAATTGAAAATAAGTTAGGTAAGTGAAAAAATTTTAGGTACGCTTGCACAATTTATCTAATGTAATAAATTTTTTTTAAAGAGCATTTCATATTCTTTCTGCTGGCGCATCTTACTGATCCGCGTGTTTCAAATTTTTGTGGACAGGATGCAAAGTCTTATTATTCCGAATTCGGCAAGACACTTCAATTGAGTTTAAAAGTCGATAGTGCAATGGAAAATGTATTGACCTTACTTTGCTAATATGCACTAAAAAATATTAATACATATAAGATTAATCGGAAAATATTTATATGTTTAGGATATAAAAAACTATGATTATTGTCTTACATACTTACACATGCACATACAATATAAAAGAATAAATCTAGATTTATTTATATTGAATCTCCGAATTTTTTTTTTACCCCCATTCAATGTCCAGATAAGCTTTATTCATTCGATTGAAGTTAATGGGTTGTAATGACTCTGGCAGACGTTTGATCCTGCGTCTTCTCTTTTTATTATTAGCCCGGACATTGGGCCAAGGAAATTGTAATATATTTTCCGATCCCTTTGTGGATTTACTAGAGAATTTTCGTTTTCTAGTTTTTTCTGCACGCTCAGCTAGAAAAAAAAAAACTAAATTACAAATTTCCTTCACTGCGTTATGCTACGATAGGTACCTATTTTCTGTAAGTGCTGTAGCTGATCTTCGTTGAAATGGGATGAATTGCACATTAGATCGAATTTGCAATACATGCCATTTAAAAAGCGAAAGCAGGGCTGCTTGTTCCGCTCCTCCTCAAGCACTTTCCTTGGCTCTATGAGAAAGCAGAAGATAAATTTAATATTTCCAGGGAATCACTCGCACTTTTGTATATACCTTCGAATCGACGCATATAGCGGACTTTGGCCATTTTATGAGATAAACCAGAATTGTGCGTTTTACGCACATTAATATCATTTTTGAGAAAACAGCAACAGTAATCGCAATAGTAACTTTTCCCACCCATTTAGTTGCATGTAATTGACGATTTTTCTTGGTCAAAATGGTGTGTTTGATGTAAGGCGAATTTATACAAGGTGGTGTCGTAAAATCAGCTGTAGCTCGTTTCTGTAACAATTCTCTACCGAGGCGAATTGAGATATGAATTCGCCGCCCTGTTCTCTACTGCTAATTAGTAGGTGAGAGTGACGTATTTTCTCTACCAGTAGAGAAATAATTGGTAGAGAAAAGTTACAGAAACGGGCTACTGATTTCTTCGCTTTCCATGAATTTTGTTTTTGCTTTTGCTGACTTGACAGCACACCCGTTAAAAGCAAAAACAAAATAGATGTAAAATTTGGGGCGAATTGAGATTTGACATAACACCCGCAATACAAAATTCATGTTGTTGTTGTAGCGGCTACAACAACCCCGCCCGGATCGGCTGATATCTCAGTCGTTGTCGTCCAGTTCCACTAACGGCAGCCCCAAGAAGCGTGCAGCCTCTATGGGGTCGGTCCACAGGGACGCCGCCGTTAGGGTTGTGGGGTTTTCCAGGCATGCGAAGAGATGTTTCGATTCGTGAGGGGTCTCTCCGCATGCCGGACATTCAACACCACCTTGTATAAATTCGCCTTGAACACCACTTTGTATAAATTCGCCTTGGTTTGTTGTAAAATGAATTAGCCTTATTTACAACAAACACATCAAGGCGTATTTAACAAGGTGGTGTTGGCCGCATATAAGTAAAAAATTACACTAACAAATTATACGCTGATGTCCATACTGTCATTGGTATGAATTACAACAAACACAGCATTTTGACGTAATGGCCTCCACGGCGAAAAACTCAGCTGTCGCCCCAACACCACCTTGTTTAATACACCTTGAAACACATCATTTTCACATAAAGAAGTATCCACCACTTTTTGTCCGTGTATGGATCTTAGACTCTAAGAGCCATACCTAAATAAGCGCGTCAAGCCAAGGTGTATTAAACAAGGTGGTGTTGGGGCGACAGCTGAGTTTTTCGCCGTGGGGCCATTACGTCAAAATGATGTGTTTGTTGTAACTCATACCAATGACAGTATGGACATCAGCGTATAATTTGTTAGTGTAATTTTTTACTTATATACGGCCAACACCACCTTGTTAAATACGCCTTGCGTCAAGCGTTAAGCCTGTCGGCCTCTCTTCTTCTAGCGTATATAAATTTAATGCGTCAGAGAGAGATAAAGATACAAGCGAAACGCTCAACGCGCTAATTTAGGTACGGCTGTAAACGTCTGGCAGCCCTGATGTTTGTTTTTTCCGTCATCTTATTGAAAAAAAAAACGCAAATTGATTAACAGTCCAAGAACATCATTCAATGCGTGTAATTTAAAAGAAATTTTGTATCTAGTGTTTAAATGACGAGCAAAAGTCCTGAAAACAGTGGACAATCCTTGCCTTCTGGTGCAACAAATGCAAATGCAAACGTTGCAATGGACGAGCATTCAGATGGTATTGCTGTGTTACCTCCAGTAAATTTCGAAAGTGATCGCTTCCCTTACTGCATTGTTTGGACACCCATACCAGTGCTTACCTGGTTCTTTCCAATGATTGGTCATATGGGAATCTGCACATCTATTGGCGTTATACGTGATTTTGCTGGACCTTACTATGTTTCGGAAGATAGCATGGGTTTTGGAAGACCAACTAGATATCTACGCCTGCATCCGAAAAACGTTGTTGGCGGCAGTGTTGAATGGGATGAAGCAGTAGCTAAAGCTTCTGTACTTTACGGAACACGTATGCATAATCTCTTTTGCGATAATTGTCACTCGCATGTTGCTACAGCACTAATAGCAATGCGTTATAAAAGACGCACAAGTTGGAATATGGTTATCTTGGCATTTTGGATGTTCTTTTGTGGCAGATATGTAGGATTCTTTGGATTTGTAAAAACATGGCTGCCGTTTGTTATTGTGGTGTCATTGTGTGTGTTCCTGGGTATTTATCTATAAGTGGGCTACTTGACGACCCTTTATAATTATATAACTATGATAGATAATTTAAGTAAAAATAATTTTGAATGAATCTTTAATTGTGTAGCTAATAATTAATTAATGCAATAAATAGTAGAAAATTAATTTAAGAAATTGTACATTTATTTGGTCATATTCCACGCCGTTTGATTTTTGTAGCTTTTAATCTATAAATTTGATAAGAGGAAAACACTTCAACCAGGTGTTAATTTGATGCTTATCTACAAGCACGCTGGTGTGGTAATACCAAGACACTTGTAGACTTGCAACACCATGATTGTTTTATTGAACTCCAAGAACATTAAAATACCATTAACTGCGATATATGGCCACAGGTTCATTGGCATGCCGCGCTAACCCCTTTTAATTTTGGCAAATATATGTATGCATACAACTTCTTATCTACTGAATTCAATTTATTTCATATTCGTATAAAAGAAAAAATAAATACAACAAAACTGGTATTCGATGATACGAGTAATTTATTCGCCCAAAGCTTTATTCACTTCGGGTGCAAGTTCAAGTAATTTTTTCCACTGATGTATGTGCAGCGATATGCCCTTTTTACCCGGCAGAATTTCGCCATTCTTCTCATAAAATTCTCTTATGTCCACCATTTTGCGACCCTTGAACTCGTTTATGCGCACCTGGCGTAATTTCTCAATAGTCCATGGACCCTTGGGATTATCTGTAGCAGTACCGCCCCTACTACTAGTGGATTCATTGGCGCCTTTCTCCTTGCCGGCTTTTGATTTCTTTGCTGGCGGTGCGTTTCTCTGCGATAAAGAGTTGGTGAATGAGTGAAAATTTATAAAAACTTTTTAATTGCTTACATCCTCCGGACCGGAATCACTGTCACTATCAGAAGAACTCGAAGTTTTCTTGTTTTTGGGCATTCTAACAAACTTTTATTAGATTACGCGATCCCAGATAAATTTATAAACTCGATCAAGCTAACTGGCGGGAGCAATTTGGCACTAGGGATACAACGAAGCATCGATTTTTTGAACTATCGATAATTTCGGGTAAAAATTCGATGTTTGCCATCGATATATGCAATTTTCGGAACAAGCAATGAATAAAAACACCTTTTTAGCAATAGAAAACCTATACAAAAAATTCGGCTTTATACAATTGCAGACAAATTTTTGGTAGGTGGTTATAGTACGGTATATATAAATGAGTTTTTGAAAGGGGGCGTGGCACATCCAGAGGCGCGAAATTTTGTATCAGCTACAACTTCGCAACCATGAAGCGAAGCGCACAGAGCCAAATATTACAACAATAGTTGTGTTTGTTTACAAATTAGCCAGTAACTTGCCGGCAACTCTCCAGTAACTTAATTTCTAAGAATTAGCTCTCCAGTAATAACGTGCAAGTTTCGTGAACAGCTGATAAATTGGTTGTTTATTCGCAGCAAATTCCTAATAAAACAATGGCCCATAGTCATAGTCGCAAGTTAAAACTCATTCTTTTTAAAATACAGCTTTAAGTTTAGAATAAATTTTTAAGTTGTGACAATCATAGACATCTTAAGGCCCGTCCACATACAACTTTGGCGTTGCGTTGGCGCTGGCGTCGCTTTGACAGCAGCGCGAGTAACGCCCGTGCTTGCTACAATGAACGCTTAGCAGAGAATACTTTGGTCACTAAATTAAGGGTCTGATTATGCATACTTCGCATAACTTCGCACAACCATTTGTACCAGTGCACTAAAAGTGTAACTTAAGAAAATGTGAAGCAAAATCTAGACTCAACAGATCGCTAAGTTTTTAAAAGTTCTGCTAATTTCTGGGTAATGGAATACATACAAAATACATACAAAGTACATACGGAATTACAGTTTGAAGTTTATGCGAAGTTGTGCGAAGTTATGCGAAGTATGCATAATCAGACCATAACATACTAGCGGCAGATAAATCAAAATTTTACATCAATAATTGCATTAAAAACTATGGCGCGTATTCATAGTCCAGCAACTAAGTCGAAACTAACAAAGTTGCAACTTAAATTTAAGTACCAACTTAAAATTTACGTCTATTCATAGTCGCATTTCAGACTTCTACTAAGTAGTTTAGACTTAGTTTACGATATAGCAACACAAGTGTGTGTGTTAGTCCTAGGTACTTGACTTCGGTGGCGACGTTGAGGGCGACCCCATTCAAAAAGATGTTCCTCATACCTGGGAGTGTTCTTCTTCTAGAAAAGGGGACGATAACGGATTTGGAGGGGTTGATGCTCAGGCCCATACTCAAGCACCAGCCTCTTGCAAGGTTTAGTCCCCTTTGAACTATATCGCATAGAGTGCTCACGAACTTCCCCCTGGCAATAATCACAATGTCATCCGCATAGCCTTGACAGCGGATGCCATTGTCAGTGAAAATCTGTAGAAGTTCGTCCACAACTAAGCTCCACAGAAGAGGGGATAAAACCCCTCCCTGTGGGCAACCTCTTGTAGTTTGTAGCTGTACTACGCCGTCCCCGATGTCGGTTTCAGCTATCCTTGTGTTGAGTAACCTGACTATCCACCTACGGATGGTTGCCTGCACGTTACGTTTTTCAAGCGCCCGGTCGATACTACCGTGAGAGGTGTTGTCAAACGCCCCCTCAATGTCGATGAAGGCACAGAGTACTGTTTCCCCACACTCAAGAGCACCTTGTATTTCCGTGGACAGGGCGTATAGTGCAGTGTCCGTGGACCTGCCCACTCTGTAGGCATGTTGGTCTGGGTGCAAAGGTGCTGCATTAAGGGTGTTGTTCCTAATTTCATAGTCGATGACCTGCTTTTAGCAGAAAGGAGGTAAGACTTATCGGCCTGAAGGACTAAGCGAGAGAGTAGTCTCTCTTACCTATCTTCGGGATAAATATAACCCGAGTCCTCTGCCACGCCTCGGGGATATGGGCAAGCGCTAAGCTCGCCCGCATGATGTTGACGAGGTGTGGCAGTAGGAGCTCCTTACCTTGCTTCAGCAACACTGGACAGATGCCATCCACCCCAGGGGATTTGTACCGATCAAAGGAGTCCAAAGCCCAGCAGACTGATCGGTGGGTGATTAGTCTTCTAGCCAGCTTCCCGCATCCGGGAAGTGGGCCGAGAGCAGGGCAAGCGCCCTCTCTTTTTCGTTCCCTGAGTAGGTACTATTAGCTAGCCGGATTGCTAGTTTGGTGTCAGTATGATCCCTCGCCAGGGCCTTATGTAGTCTAGCGGCTGCAGGAGTCAATGTGATGTCCTCACAGAACTTCCTGAAGCTGCCCCGTTT